AAAATATAAGAACCCATTCAGCCTGAACCCAAAAATTCTAGGTTCTTATACGCGGGTGTTTACTGTATTCTACTACTCTTCAAGTGACAAGGCGAAAACATGCCGTGAGAAGTATATCTTCGTTTAGTGTTCGTTCAGCGAAACTGCCAAAAAAGTTTTAAAAAGAAGACGGCGAATGAGGCATCTTGTAACGATTTTCGCTGCGTCTGTAGCCTAGGTGTAAATCTAAAAGTTATTGCGAAGATTTCAAATGCAGAGTTTCAACCGAGAATTTATATTATGTATTTGACATAGGAGATCATCCAACTGCAGTGAAATGTTTGCCGATAGCAGCGGAAAGTTTCAGGTGAATGTGTGGTTTCAAGTGAAAGTCCCGTTCAATCTTTTAAATGGACGGCAGAAAGGCCAAGCTCTGTGAATTCATATTCGCTGACTTGGACGATGCTGTTGAGCGGTTAACTAACGCGTTCGCAGTCGGGTTGGAGGCGGAAAGGTTTAATTTGCCAAAAAAAAACACTTGATAAATTTAAATCTTTCAAAAGCCTGTTGGCACGCTTCGATTTGCACCGGTTCCAAAACATTCCTGTAAGGCGTCACACGTATCTCGAATGTTGTCAACGCTCCTAACATAAGCCAATCATATTTTTGCGTTGTGAGAACAACGCATAATTCAAACTCTCGCGCCCAGGATTTCGCGCGGCTATTTTTTTCTCACAGTTTTCTTTCGCGTCACGCACGACGGACTAAGCGAAAGAGGGACTACTCGTAGTCTACTCGGAGCCTGCTCGGAGCTCTATGAAAATGACATCCTTGTGCGATCGGATCCTCCAAGAATTTGCGAATTTTCCCGCCTGTCCCAGACTTCAGTAATTTCGGTTCCAGACTTCGCACTAGCAGACCGCGTATCAAAAATTCAAAATGGCCGCCACAAAACATAAAACACGCGCGATAAAGGTAGGTTAATCTTTTATTCATATTCTAAACGGATGTGAGGGCTCCGTGTGTTTCAGTACAGGTTTATTCGTTTCGTTTGGTTTCATTTTGTTTCTTTTCGCAAAATACACTAAGCCCAAAGAGCGAATTCAAAAGCAAAGCGATCCGGCGGGGAGGAGTCTGGTGAGGAGGCGCGAAGAAAGTAAGCCTGCCCTGATCTCTGTATTTTTTTTTTCATTTCTGCTTTGCCTGAGCGAAGTGAAAAACCACTGGTCGAAAAGCGGGAAAGGTGAGAAAGCTCTCAATCTGTTATGTTTGATGAGGAGCGACTAGATCCCCATGGAGTCGGTAATTTATCGCGCATGTTTCTGAACTCCTTCTCCATCATTTGCTCTCCGATCTGAAAAGCGCTTTTCTTCAGCTCTTGAAAGGTCATTTCCAGCAAGGACGCACACTTTATTCCAAGTGACCCTGCTTTGACAATCTGATCTAGCTTTGATTATGCTAGTAAGCGGGGAAATTACCAGGATGGAAGCATTTGTGTCGTTTAGTTGCTCGCTTGCCATCGCGTATATATGTTTGGAATATGAAACTTTTGCCATGTCCAATTGGCAAAACGGCAAGTACGTCTTGATCCATCAACATACTTTTAACTGCGGTTTCCTCCTCCTTTAACTCGAAATTTAAACCAGAAACGGACTGGAACTTTGCTAACACGTGAGAAATACACATATCCAACTGTTCTTCTTAATCCATGTTGACTGTTGAACCTTGAAGTATTCTTCATCACTTCTGCACAAGAATATTTGTAACATTGTTGTTGATGAGTGCTTTCATTTGTACCAAATTCAGAAGTACAATGTATGCATACTTTAGGTACTCGTAATGGTGATGAAATAGAAGGGCCAGTAACATATTTATAAACATTAAGTTCAAGGGCTAGCTTGTACGCATCCACCAAGCGATCGCCATCTCCTTCCTTTATGGCAACGTTGATCTCAGCCATAAAAAGCCCAAAGGCCAATCTGGCACAGTGGTAGTTGTGTGCTTGACTTCAGTAGGTTCTACTCCTGGAGACGTCATTTCTTCTGACTCGATGTTGCATTCAGAGTTTTCTCATGCCCAAAGCAACAAAAGAGAAAACCAAACATTGAATCTATTCGCTTAGCCTTCTCTCTATTTTGCTGCTCTCTTAAAGCGTAAGGTGAATGGTTCAAATATAAACGTTTCTGATAATTTTAGGAATTATGGGGTTTATTGAAGGTCCTCCTGCTCCTAAACGAATATGGGGACCCCCTTTTTTGTTTCAAATTTTAAGTTCTCTTGATATGAACAGCCAACAGGAAAAGTTTGAAGACATTCACGTTCCCACGTTGTTCGGCGTCTTTTTACAGATATACAGCTTGCATTACAGGCAGAAGCAGCATTAATGTTTTGGCGCTGTGTTTTTTTTTGTTATTTAGGTTAAAAAAATGTTATAAATATTATTTAAGCAATGCTTTCAATTTGTATACCATAGAAATTATTCCACAAGTCATTTGTATTTTCTCAGTGTGCACACAAGTCTGATAATAAGTCTGATAAATAGGATATTCCATGGCATACCACGAGAGAGCACTGCATAACTCTTTC